TATTTTTAAACATGAATACAACAGACATATCTCGAGGTTTTATTCCAGCCAAATTATCCCTTTGAGGTGAGGTGAAATGGGGTTTAACATCGTGTCTCTGATAATTGCAGTAATGGCGTAAATGTGTGTGTGTGTGTGTGTGTGTGTGTGTGTGTGTGTGTGTGTGTGTGTGTGTGTGTGTGTGTGTGTGTGTGTGTGTGTGTGTGTGTGTGTGTGTGTGTGTGTGTGTGTGTTTTACTAGTCTGGGCTGATGCCGATCTTATAGTGCTAGCACACTGAGATACCACTGAGATAACACGAATACTCAACTAAGTTACAGTATACTGTCTCCGTGTCGACCAGGCAGGGTAACAACGAGTACCATTTTTTAACATCTTTTCGTATGACGCTGCCGCGGATCGAAGCCTGGCCATTCAGCTCTCTGGGCGGACGCTCTGCCACTAGACCACGGAGGTGGTTTATCCCATTGAGGCCGTATAACGATATGAAGTCAAATATTTCGTATTAAGTGAGCATAGTTATTTGACATCTGTTCCATGTTATATTTATTGGCTTTTGGGAAAATATATACATTCTATGCTTAGGGAAACGCATTAATTTTATGACGCTTTTCAGTGCCCCAAAGTGCTGACTGAAACAAATTCATACGCGGCCGTCAAAGTAACTGTTTTGAAGACAATCTTGTGTGTGTGATTTGAGCAACGAATCAGTATAAGTGAGTGAGTGAGTATGGTTTTACGACGCTTTTAGCAATATTCCAGCAATATCATGGCGGGGGACACCAGAAATGGGCTTCACACATTGTACCCATGTCGGGAATCGAACCCGGGACTCCGGCATGACGAGCGAACGCTTTAACCACTAGGCTACCCGTCCGCCCCCAGTATTCAAGCAGGCTGTAAATGATATAATTACTTGTTTGTGTTGGTATAAATAAACATGAACTCAACAGTTTGGGAACATAGGTGTGTTATTGTGATTTGAAACCCATAATCAACCAATTACTACTTTATTGTAGTAGTCTTTTTGTGTGTAGCCTTATTAATTGTGTTGTTTGTTGTTAAACACCGCAGTCAACAATATTCCAGCTATATGACGGCGATCTATAAATAATCGAGTCTGGACCAGACAATCCATTGATTGACATCATGAGCATCGATCATGCAATCGGGATACGATAATGATGTATTAACTAAATCAGAGAGCCTGACCACCCGAGCCCGTTAGTCGCCTCTTACGACAGGCAAAGTCGCCTTTTAAGGCAAGACCTATTCTACCCCGTATCTTCACGGGTACAGTAGTAATTCATGAACACTGTCTTGGTGGAATAAGTTGTATGTGTCGGTATTAATGTTAACGTCAATCAACAGTTTCCGTTCTTCACAGTAGAAGTATCTGTATGTGTCGGTATTAATGTTAACGTCAATCAACAGTTTCCGTTCTTCACAGTAGAAGTATCTGCATGTGTCGGTATTAATGTTAACGTCAATCAACAGTTTCCGTTCTTCACAGTAGAAGTATCTGTATGTGTCGGTATTAATGTTAACGTCAATCAACAGTTTCCGTACTTCACAGTAGAAGTATCTGTATGTGTCTGTATTAATGTTAACGTCAATCAACAGTTTCCGTACTTCACAGTAGAAGTATCTGTATGTGTCTGTATTAATGTTAACGTCAATCAACAGTTTCCGTACTTCACAGTAGAAGTATCTGCATGTGTCTGTATTGTTTCACGCCGACTGAGATGTTCCCCCTGGAGCTGAGCTTGGCGGACGTGGGGAACCAGTGCCGGGACCCTGACGGTGAGATGACGCCCTGGTGCTTCACGGTGTCCCCCAAGAAGAGATGGGTATACTGCGCTGTCCCACAATGTTGACATCTTTTTTTCTTTCTATTTTTTGACATCATGAATACAACACGAGTGTGTCGCCCGACATGATTGCAGTTCGTACTGTAAACTGGCTGTATATAAAGTAAGCTGGGCGGCAAAAGAGAGTATAGGTCGAGTTCCATGATCGATGAAACAAGAAGAGGTTTGTTGTGAATTATAATATAATCTAGGGAGGAGTAACAAAATGATTGATCAACCACAGTTTGAATGTATTTGTGCAATCACAGGTAATGTAAGCTCAAGATAAACAATGGTGGGGTAAGACATTTCATTTTCAAAAGTTGTCTGAAATGTCACCAAAAATTGTCCGACACACTACAAGTTCATTGTCGACATGGTTGCCTTCAATAGCGTGTATGACTTCCAGCTGCCTCAATGCATGCTGTGATACGCCGCCTCATCCAGGACGTCAGTCTTCTGATGACGTGGACTGGAATCCGTTGCCACTCGTCTCTCAGGGCCTGCTGCAATTCTTGTCTGTTGACGGGAGGCTGATGGCGTGCTCTGATCTGTCTGTCAGATAGGATTCATATCGGGTGAGCGGGCAGGCCGGGGCAAAACGTCAACGTTCTGCTGGTTCAAAAAGTTCCGAGTCAGTCTTGCAGTATGGGGCCTGGCATTGTCGTGTTGAAACATTGTCCCCTGCTGTTGGTTTTGTAAGAACGGAAGCACAACCGGCTCAACACTTGGTCTCTGTAATGCACAGCGTTCAGGATTCCCTGTATAATCACCAAATCAGCCTTCTGATCTTCACAAATGCCGCCCCACACCATGACAACTCCCCCGCCGAATGGGTGGACCTCTCGAATACCCGCCGGAGCCAAACGTTCCCCTCTGCGTCGATAAACTCGTTCTCTGCCGTCATTTCGAAACAAGTTAAACCGACTTTCATCAGAAAACAGCACTCGACGCTAATTTCTCACTTGTCAGCGTCGAACCTGCCTCGCCCATCGCAGTATCAGTCGTCAATGTTGAGCAGTCAGTACCATTCTTCGGAAAGGACGATACGCTCGGATTCCAGCAGCACAAAGTCGTCGTAGTACTGTACGTTGGCTAATGGGATGGCCCAACGCTGTTGCTGCCGTCGCCGTTACGAATCTGTTTCGCAGGAGAATGAGCCGTATCTGACCGTCTTCCAGTGGTGTTGTCACTCGGGGTGGTCCGGTTCTAGGCCTGTCCTGTGTCCCCCCTGTCTGCCTGTAGCGTTGAATCAGCCTGGCTACTGTCACTGGTGTACAACCAAACCTTTTGGGAATTTGGACCTGTGCTGCCCCCATTTCGGCCATACCGATGGCTCTCTCTCTCTCTGCTCCTGTGACAGTCGTAGCATTTCTTTTGTGTGCTTTCATCACGTGTGGTTATACCCTGCAGACGAACGCATTTATACAACTAACATGCACGTGCAGTTAATGCCATATGCGGGAAACCTGTTTCACCCTTTTTTGTAACAGCACGAGCGCCGTCAAAGGTGGCGCGTTCGGGTGAGGTGTTTTTTGGTACCTGTTCTGGGCAGTCATATTCCCAATACCCACTTTCCATTAGTTATTGCTGTTTTTAGGAAAATTACAAATTGCCAACCTATACTTTCTTAGTTTATTTATTAAAGTAAACCGCACTTCTGTTATTATTTTCTACCATTGTCACAAATTCCCCTTGTCAATGCTCATTCTGTTTGTGTGAAAAATGTTTTGTAAAACATCTTTTTATAAGTGTCGGGTTTAGGGGTTCAGGCAATAAGGCATGAGGGGCGGGTCACAAGATCCCTTTCAGAAACAATACCTTGTGTATATATACACATATATATAGATTGCTCTTGGAAATGTGCACTCAACATGTGATTGTATAATCGGTCCATAGACGGTTTACACTCATTCATTCATTCATTCATTCATTCATTCATTCATTCATTCATTCATTCATTCAAAATGGAAACACATAGCCTAGTCCATGATTCGGTACCTACTGGGCAACTAAATGAGACGCAAGGCAGGCCTTGAAAGATAGGCCTTGAATCGCACCTTTATACAGCCTGCCTTCTAGCTACAGAGACTTCGTTTGACGTGTGACTTATGTTTACACTGACAGCCATACAACAACCAGGTGTGTCGCGGAATAAAATAGTAAGTCAAAAAGAGGAGTGACGCAAGAGTAAAACGCTCAACTTACTCGAAGAGAACATCTGTTGTAGTTGTTACAACGAATGCATTCAAATAAAATCATTATTTTGTGAGAAAGGTGTGTTAAGAACAAGCTCAGTCCGTCACAATGACAGCGCGTCGTAATTCATGTACATCAAGTACACGACGTCACAATGACAGCGCGTCGTAATACATGTACATCAAGTACAAGACGTCACAATGACAGCGCGTCGTAATACATGTACATCAAGTACAAGACGTCACAATGACAGCGCGTCGTAATACATGTACATCAAGTACAAGACGTCACAATGGCCGACACGTTAGACGTGACGGGAGAAATTTTCCAAGTTATTAATGAACCTGTGGCGGTTACATTTGTTGGTAATCATTGACGAATTGAATCTTTGCAAGGTGATTGTATGGATGTATCAAATAGTGTTAAGGTAAATTCATAGTTTGCTGTAGACTGTCACTGTCAGTCTAGACACGGATCGAGTCAACACTACGATACTTTTGGTGTGTGTAATTCTTCGTTTTGATCACTAGGATGGGTCGTAGCTAAGATATTCATGAACGATTATGCAGTCAAACTCTCTGACGTTTCTCAATGTATGCTAAAAGGCTGAGTTCAAGATAAAATGATCCAAATAATCAGAAACGACGTTTCTGTATGTATTCGTGCTAGGGATTCCCCGGTATCCCCCAATAATGCATAATTAGTCTGTCAGTGTTTACGTGATTTCAAGAATACGGTCTCACGAAAAACGCATGAACGTTAAATTGAGTCGCTCATGCACTTATGAATGCCAATTTCGCCAATCAGAATGATATATCTAAGTATGAAACTGATACAGTTAGAACATTATTAAATGATGACCCTAACCCTTTCAACTGATGATGAAGCAGTGATATCGATGACGATTACTGGGCACTTTCGAGTCAAGTTCGGGGAATCCAGAAGAGCAAGATAATGTATTGAATGTTTAATTATCCAGTTTATATTGAAATAATACAAATACGTTCTAAGCATGTATCTATAGATGAACAATTACTACAGTAAATGGCCATGTAGTTTTGACGATTATTATTTTCAGATGTTCGATCCCTCAATGAGTATTTGGCAATATCAAACATGGGACTTTGGACAAGAAGTTACGCTTCAGGTATATGGAGGAACCGATATGTTTTGTTAATTTAATGAATGATTATGATCCAGCTATAGTAGAAAACTTGCTAAAATTCTGTAAAGCTTCACTTGTGAGGAGAGCATGTTATCATTAATTACTGTACACTATGTTATCATTGAATATATAAGTATGATGAACCGCCATCACCTTGATGGAACATTTGTAATTTTGTATACTTTGTATACTTTGTATATGGGCCTGAGGCCTCAAGTACAAATAAACAGAATGATAACCATCCCAAAAGATCAAACATCAAATCCCTACTGATTTTCCCATCTAAGCTAAAAGAGAGTAGTACAGGAGCCTCGTCTGTTTCATATTAAGATCTAAAAACACCATTTAAATTAACAAAAAGTCCACAATCAGATTATGGAAACTGTTCCGTCACTTTCATTTCAGGTGTTCTTGTGAAAAAAAGAGTGTTTAATTTCAAACATTAAATTAACTCATTCAATCTTTCATATAAGATAAAAAGTCATTTTTGTACGTACACTTCCCCTTTAACACAGTAAAATAACGTTTATGTGTTGGCATGAGCATTAGGATTTACAGCTCAGCCATCGCAAACAATGCCATTAGTAATTTCCACAGTTTAAGCAGACAAAATGTAAACAGTTTTCCTTTAAACATTTTCTCTGAAGCTTTTTCTACAATCCCTACTTCAAAGCAAAAAGATAAGTATGAACAAACACATTAAAAGATATACTGATGAGGCTATATCTGTGTTGTGTAGTCATTGTAATTGATTGTACAATTCAAAGAGAAATACTGTTAAGATGATTCCCAATGTAAAGAAACTACCGGGCAAAATAAACTTATCACTTGTAAATTAAGTTTTATCTGAATTAAAGACCTGTTTATCTTATGGTGGAGGCGGCGTCATGGTATGGGGCGGTATTTGCGGTCACTGGACAACAAGGCTTGTCATCATCGATTGGAATCTGACTGGCCAAAGATACAAGGACGAAGTGTTGCGACCTGTTGTAGTGCCATTCATGGACAGCCAAGAGGTACCCTTTTGCAGCAGGATCATGCACGACCTCATTGCACCTGACTTGTTCAGCAATATCTACACAACGTTAACGTCAACGTATTGCCTTGGTCAGCATGTTCTCCAGACATGAATCCCATAGAGTCTCTCTTGGATCATTGTGATCGACAGCTGAGACAACGCATACCTCCTCAGCAAACGGACAGCAGCTTGAACAGGTTTTATTGGATTAGTGGTGCAGAATTCCTGCTGACGTTATCCGGCTATTGACGACACCCATGAGGAAAGGTATTTTGGCGTGCAGGGGGTTTGATGCCGGGGGTGGTCACACATGCTAATAACGACATGTCTTGTCACATGATTTGACTTATTAGCTTCTTTTGAGTGGACTCGTGTTAATGTATTAGTTTTTTTTATCCCATGTCTCTATTGCTCGGCCTCATGGCAAGTGCACTTCCGATATAGTATTGCAATTTTGTACAGCCATCGAAAAATGATTCCTGTTATTAAGATAATCACTATATGGTTAACGCCTGTCTCTTTCTGTGGGAACTGCAGAACAAGGTGATCAGATTATTTTGCCCGGTATTTCAGCTTGAAAGCAAAATCCACGGGATGTGGTAACCCTAATCCATTATTTTTATTCGTGCAGGTTTTGAGAGTGACTACGACTTTCAAGGATGACATTACTTATTTATACAGAGGACGTGCTTTGTTTAGATTGTGTCCATTCTCACATTTCTTGATTTATACACATTCACGGACTTGAAGAATTGGTCAACACATGTATAGATTCGTGAGGGGAGGCATAATGCACAAAATGTATTCTAAATATATAGGACACTGAAAGAAATAACTTACGCTTGGATATTTCTGTTTACACGTCACATGTTATAAAAAACAGTGTCTACTCACGTTATTGAACATATACTCCTACCTTCCATATAAGGAGATATGCTGAACACTTCTACACACATCCTTACTGTTACTATTTGAAAACATATTCAGATGGTAAATGTGTGTACAGAAACATGTTTCCGTTATCTCAGTGAGGACTGACAGACAGGCAATGTGAAAGGTCAATTGAGGTCTTCATAGATTGGCCCATCTGCGGAAAAAAGAAATCGTCTTAGAGAATATGTTAAATATGTGTATGATGTCTTTTTTTACAAGAAGTTAGATTGGTCATAGGCAACCAAATGTTTGCCATATCATAAAGGAAACAAACGTCAATTGAAACATGCGATGTGGCACAAGGTAAGTTTGAAATTCAGATTTTACATCTGGTTTAATGTACTTTTGCAAGGTATAACACTTTCTCTGAACAGCTCTATCCATTGAATCGAATTTACAGAAAGTATTAAGTGGAATGCTGTTGTTGGACTTTGATTATGTCTCCCACACATCGAGATACTTTGCTCGACTCAATCCAATCATATCTCGGCCTCACTAGCAGGAATCCATACTGGAAAAGTAGATTCGTGCATGGGACTGTCAAACGACACATGAACACATGGCGACAGTCGTGAGCCTTACATAACCATTCAAATTGTTTGTTAGCTTTTGTCTTCAAATCAGTGTTCAAGTTATTCCAAAGATTAACTTGTCTTCAAGAAAGGCCAAACTGTTATCCGAACTATATGTGGCGGGTATGACGTTACGCTCTTTACAATATATTGGAGCATTTTCCCTAACCTATCCCTTCCTGAGGTACTGTGAAGGTGTCGGTATAATTGGAATGGACCCGAGTGGCATAGACACTGAGCCATGGTTTTGTTCGTTTGTTTCCATTAGTTGCTTGTACACATCCTTCTTAACGGTTCAGACGTCTGAATTTGTTGTTGGATTGGGATCGATGTTGTTATTGACGTATGTCCTACCTGTACGCGAAAAAGATGTTGTCTTTGTTCCTACAGCGTGGTCAAAGCTTTTATTAACATACACTGGAAAACCTCTTGGCTGTGCGGGTGCTGAAAAGTAAATACAATCTGTGAGTGTTAACCAAGGGGTGTTGAACTCAAACTACTAACCACAATAAGTAAATCATTTATATGAGTCGAAGAAGGATGAATGTATGAAAGGCTGTTAGATTTGGTGGCCTAGTGGTTAAAGCTTTGCTTCATCACCCCAAGGGCCCCAGGGTCGATTCCCCACAGGCAAGTACAATGCATACAATATATTATAAGCAGGGAGTTGGCACTCGGCTATTTCCGCTGGATCCCATGCACAATTTCTGCGCATGCGCAGTAGCAGTAGAAAGGCACATGTCCAAGTCACAAAGTCATAATTATGGTCTAAAACAACGGTGAGGCAGTTTGACAATTTCACCCCTCAAGTCTCAAGAAATTACTGTAAATGCATCCATTAGCTAAACTGAGTAATTCTATGGTGTGAAGAACAGATAATGATTTCGCCATGTGTGTGTTAGTTCACCTTACCATACTTGCCCATTAAGTTCAAATGTCATCCTAGTTTGGAGTTATATCATTAGCTCTTTAAGTTTATCCATGTCCTACACATACCTAAATATTTGGCTTTGAGATATGGAGTTAATGCCACGTGTATTCTTAAAATAAGTCGAAGGATTTACTTGAACTTTTGCAATCTCAGAAAAGAACGAAGTTTAATTACACTAAAACATTTCATTTTTCAACTTTGTACACCACTATCCCACTCAAAGGAAACCGTAAGGAAAAACTTAATTCCTTAATCCATGGGGAATTTGTTACATTGGTTACTAGTGACCATATACTAGTATATAGCAATATATCTATGGTCAGAGGTTCAGGACTATTAATATTATACAAATTGAAAGCAAGTGTCATTTGAAGTTTACTGAGAAGGCACTAAGTGAAATGCTTGACATCTTCATTGATGACATCGATGTGACATTTTAGGATAATTCATTAGGCAAGAAGCAGGCATCCCAAAGGGAACCGATTGTTCTCCCCTTCATGCTGATCTGTTTCTGCATGCATATGAATCGGAATTCCTGTTAGGATTGGCAAAATCAAAACAAGGAAATATGGCAAATAAGTTTAACTGAATGTTGTCGCTTTTATTAAAATGAAGGTGTCTCATAGAAATTCAGGGAATACTCATCAGCTGTTTTCACATCGTTCTCTACTGAAGGTGGACACTTGGGTGGTTATTAAACCGTCTACCCACCACAATTTATTATGATTAAGTTTCATGCAAGTTTACAAAGTTGTCCTTTGATGTATGCTATTGCAGTTTATACTCTTGCAACATTATATATACCGAGACTGAACGGAATGGACCCGAGTGGCATAGACACTGAACCATGGTTTTGTTCGTTTGTTTCCATTAGTTGCTTGTATACATCCTTCTTAACGGTTCAGACGTCTGAGTTTGTTGTTGGATTGGGATCGATGTTGTTATTGACGTATGTCCTACCTGTAAGCGAAGCAGATGTTGTTGTTGTTCCTACAGCGTGGTCAAAGCTTTCATTAACATACACTGGAAAACCTCTTGGCTGTGCGGGTGCTGAAAAGTAAATACAATCAGCGAGTGTTAACCAAGGGGTGTTGAACTCAAACTACTAACCACAATAAGAAAATCCTTTATATGAGTGGAAGAAGGATGAATGTATAAAGGCTGTTAGATTTGGTGGCCTAGTGGTTAAAGCTTTGCTTCGTCACCCCAAGGGCCCCAGGGTCGATTCCCCACAGGCAAGTACAATGCATACAATATATTATATGCAGGAAGTTGGCACTCGGCTATTTCCGCTGGATCCCATGCACAATTTCTGCGCATGCGCAGTAGCAGTAGAAAGGCACATGTCCAAGTCACAAAGTCATACAATGTAATTATGGTCTAAAACAACGGTGAGGCAGTTTGACAATTTCACCCCTCAAGTCTCAAGAAATTACTGTAAATGCATCCATTAGCTAAACTGAGTAATTCTATGGTGTGTAGAACAGATAATGATTTCGCCATGTGTGTGTTAGTTCACCTTACCATACTTGCCCATTAAGTTCAAATGTCATCCTAGTTTGGAGTTATCATTAGCTCTTTAAGTTTATCCATGTCCTACACATACCTAAATATTTGGCTTTGAGATATGGAGTTAATGCCACGTGTATTCTTAAAATAAGTCGAAGGATTTACTTGAACTTTTGCAATCTCAGAAAAGAACTAAGTTTAATTACATTAAAACATTTGATTTTTCAACTTTGTACACCACTATCCCACTCACAGGAAAACGTAATGAAGAACTTAATTCCTTGATCCATGGGGAATTTGTCACATTGGTTACTAGTGACCATATACTAGTATATATCAATATATCTATCGTCAGAGGTTCAGGACTATTAATATTATACAAATTGAAAGCAAGTGTCATTTGAAGTTTACTGAGAAGGCACTAAGTGAAATGCTTGACATCTTCATTGATGACATCGATGTGACATTTTAGGATAATTCATTAGGCAAGAAGCAGGCATCCCAAAGGGAACCGATTGTTCTCCCCTTCATGCTGATCTGTTTCAACATGCATATGAATCGGAATTCCTGTTAGGATTGGCAAAATCAAAACAAGGAAATATGGCAAATAAGTTTAACTGAATGTTGTCGCTTTTATTAAAATGAAGGTGTCTCATAGAAATTCAGGGAATACTCATCAGCTGTTTTCACATCGTTCTCTACTGAAGGTGGACACTTGGGTGGTTAAACCGTCTACCCACAACAATTTATTATTATTAAGTTTCATGCAAGTTTACAAAGTTGTCCTTTGATGTGTGCTATTGCAGTTCATATTCTTGCAACATTATATATACCGAGACTCTTATGCAGGGACTTTACATGGTGCGGTTTGCTGGTATTGCGAAAACCTGATCCTGTCTTTGTGATGGCCCGTGAGGAACTGCTGCATTTCTAAAAACTTACAATTTACAATGAGAAATCCGTACTCTTTGGTTGACATGTAGTGAGTGGGTTTACCCTGTGTAGTTTCGCTCCTGATGACTCCATATGTCTGTTGAACACTTGTACCACGTTGCAATGCTGTATAAGGCTTCTCATAGTGCGCATCTGCAACATAACGGTTCTTAATGGCACACAGACACACCGACCCCCAAACACATGAAACACTAGGTACATGTACTTATAATGAAATGCCTCATTGTCTTCTTTGTTAAGAGCTCTTCAAACCATATCGAAAGATTTTATTTTAGGTTTGGGATATATTGGGTACTGTGTGAGAGGGAATATTGAACGATTTCTTTGCACTCTACCTTCGAGAGTCTTCATGCCTCTCCTTTTCCTGTAGAAGACCACACCTGTCAACACCCCCGTGATCAGCAGCACACCGATGATGACACACACAACTATCACTACAGTATTGTCTGAAACAAATAGTTTTAAGATTTCTGTTTCAATTAATCTCATCAAATGCAGAATGCAATATAAATATGTCTCCGTGTACTAATTATTATTAACAGATGTTACTTAGTGTATTAATGGCCTAATCTCTCCAAACTAACATTATACCACTTAATGTCCCTAATGTGCGATGTAGATGACACTCTGCTAAAACATTTACTATCATGTGAAGTCATATCTCATATAAATATTAAACGCCAACGCAAGAAAATATCCAATCTATATATCCGATAAAACAGATTACATTCCAAAGCTCGATATACAGATATTTTGAAAACCTTTTAGAATCTATGTACATAGTTATTGGTAGGCTCGGAATCAATACAAATGAAAACTAAAAATCTTTTGCTATTATCTTGATATATTGTAGTTCAAAACATTTTCGATCCACACAGAGCAATGTATATTTTTTGTCTGATACTTCTTTGTAAATATAAGTACCGAAAGGTTTACTCGTTAATCATAAGCGTTCTTGAGACAAACCTGTTATTGGAAATGTGAGATAAATAATTCATTATTTTCAGAAATATTTAAAACTTTAACCGTGAAGGGGATCTACTTTGCTTGTAATAAAGCAAAATACTTTACCCCAACATGTATGCAATTAATAACTTCTCAATAGTACTAGTGAGCATATTATTTCATTATAGTAGTATAGTTATTTCAAGTCGAACCAGCTTAATATGGGAGGAGGGTAGAAACTGTTGGAAGTCTTTAACTTTTGTCAAAGCCAGGTGCACGGATAGAGTCCGGATGAATGTAGGACTCGATCCAACACCCCTGAAGATCCTGGCAAACCCAAGTAACTCTGCACATCGAATTGCCATGAACAGATGTGCTATTGAAGAAGTCTTAGAAATGATGCCATAACATTGTAAAAGAGGCATGAAGAGCTTTATGTGTTGGATAAAGCACGAGCACGTCAAAGGATCTTTATGATGTTTAAAACTCGCATCCGCGGGATAAAGGTTTTAAATATCATAAAAATCCGAGAGAAGTGTATTATCTAACTTATAAACCTAAAACAGAGTCTTAAAACAACATTTATCAACAGTTTTATGTTTCAATGGAAATAAAAAAAGACCAAAAAAAACACAAAACAAATTTTTTTAAGGAAGAGAATTTATGGATGTTTGATTCTTTTTTATTAGGCACACAACGTTTCGGAGTATATGCTTAATTATTCATCAGGTGAATGAATGATATGAGACAGAGAGCATATATAGGTACACGTGAGACCAACGTCCCCTATTAAAATAGCATTGATCTAATTTGGCAAAGCGCTAAATCAGATGCAATTTTGCCACAAATACATGCTTACAGTTACAATTACGATAAACGTCCAACAAAACCAGTGGTGTACCAAGTTGTATGAAACAGACTATAACTACAGGTGACAGTAACACTTGGTGTCTTGTCACCTGACAGGTACACATCTGACCAAGATTTTACCACAACAGTCGATGCATAGTGGAGACTCTCAAAAGAAAAAAATGCAAATATTTCTCACGTTAGGGATGAATGGGAAATAAAGATAGAAAATGTTAAGTAAACCTTTGAAAGTGTAAAGAATGCAGACCTTGAAAATTGTTCTACGACCATTGGAAATTGTAAGTTATCGTAATGATGGGATAACAGAATGTACTTGGAATGTTGATTCACTGATTGAACGAGTAATGTGAGATTTGATTTTTGAATACGCAATATAGTTTCAGTTTAAAATACAAAAATTGCTCCCAGATGTATTGATATATGATATTAACGTGCGATATGTAGAAAACGAAATAGAATAAATTTAGCACAATACATATAAAAAATATATCATACTTTTAATACTATGTGACGCCCAAACAATCGGTATCCTTTAGGCAGAACTGACTGACAAAGTTTCTCTTCATCACACAAGTATCATTACAGCTCAATATCTTATTCGTCAGAGGAAGAATCGAGATCGGTAGCAGTGTCATTCAACGAGATAATGACAGGGGCGACGAGGCTGGCATCATCACGTTGGTGGTACTGTTGTTTAATGTCAAGGACCCATGTCTCATCAAGGTAAATGATTTGGAATCCTAGACATCTGTAGTCATGAATGGTATTTAGATAATTTGAATGCATGAATATCATAGAATACTTTTCCCTGAACACACCCCTGTCCTCCCCACGTGCGGTTTATTTGAACTCAATCTCATGCAGAGATATGATGAGCATAGTTCGTGAAAAAATTATCGTTTCTCTAATTTCCTACTGAATTCATTTACATGTCGGAGGCACCTTCTGCTCGTAAAACTTGTCTACGTCTTATAACTCCTTTATCAAAACTATCAGGTTTTCTTTTTCTACCTGCTGAAACTTTAGATACGGACCCTACCTTCTTTGATTAATTTATTATACCATATATTTGTTGGTGTGACATTCCAAGTGCTTTACCTGCTCGGAAGTACAGCCTAGCAACACTAAGCATGGGTCTCCCTTGTCTCTCTCCTTCACAAAATACTTGAAGACGTTTGCTACTGTCGACTCTGTGTCACGAACCACGATTGTGCTCTTCACGTGCAATGCTTCATGCATCATAGGAGTATTATTCAAATATTCCCTGATGTGAATAAACACTTAAACATTACTAAATACTATTATATTATACCAATTCATCGCATCATTCACATTAACAGGCAGTAATATACCATTAGGTTCTCAAATTATTATTATGGGACAAAAACATATTTGCATAAATCTATAGTATGTTTCTGATTTCCTTCATCAAACCTCTACTTTGGATGAAAATTCCTCCGGTAAGATTGCAATTAGAACTGAGGGAAATTTAATTTATTCAAACCCAACCTAGGACGATCCTTTTTAAAGAGGTACTTTCATAAAACATCTTTCTATTCCTTTTTATTAACGTTTCACGGCAAAATATCAGTGTTGTGGCATTTCCGACGGTATTTTAGTGGTACACTCACCGGGCTACAGATACGAAGGTTGCATATTCGATCCGCAGGTAATAAAGAAAATATTACATTGTGTTTTAAAATAAATTTCTAGATAGAGATAAACGGATTTGTAATAATAAAATCCATGGGATATGACAACATCCCTGTTCGTGAGATTTAACCCGACTGGAGAACAATAAGATGACGTCACTGGAGGTTTGTCAGGCATAGCTGTGTCCTTTGCTTTGGGTTGAACAATACCTGTATTTCCTGGAGGAGGTCCACGAGAAGTCGCCGTGATTGTGGTTGATGGGATGATGGGTTTGACAACTGCAGAGGATGGAAAGTAGAGAAAGAGAAACTGAGTGGTATGCAGTCATTAATTCAGTCACAGACGATCACGATCTTGCAAAGATGTTAACGTCATTCTAATAGCAGACAATGGGGATTGGACATTCTCGCCTGTTTAGAAAGTAGACACTTCAACTATGAGCAAAACCTTGTCTGTACTCACCCACATTGATGTTGAGAGATCTTGATGCATTGTACGTCACACCACGGACGACATTGGTGGCCATACATGTGTATGTTCCTGAATCTTCTATCTGAAGATTAGAAAGTGTCCATTCTTCGCCCGGCGTGGTGGAATTATCGTCTCCTTCTTTGTGCCAGGAGAAGGTTGCTGGTGGGTTGGTATCAGCATTACACTTCAGGGTGACGGTGTCGCCAACAGTGTGTGTACCTCCTGCAGGGTTGGAGCTGACATCGGGGTCACTCTCACTGAATGTAACTGAAAAAATGTTAGCATAAGTGAGTGAGTCAGTGTGAATGTGTGCCCCCTGGATGGTTGGAGCTGCCATTGAAAGTATTCTCACTGACAGAATCATATATGTTAGGATGAGTGAGTGAGTTAGTGTGTGTCTGCTACCTGCAGGGTTTGGAGCTGACAACAGGGTCGCTGTCACTGAATGGATCTGCAAGTATTAGATTGCGTGAGTCAGTGTGTGAGTGCCCCTTGCATGGTTGGGGCTGATATTGGGGCGCTGTCACTGAATGGATCTGCAAATATTAGATTGCGTGAGTCAGCGTGTGTGTGCCCCTTGCATGGTTGGAGCTGACATTGGGGGCGCTGTCACTGAATGGATCTGCAATTATTAGATTGCGTGAGTCAGCGTGTCTGTGCCCCTTGTATGGTTGGGGCTGACATCGGGGCCGCTGTCCCTGAATGGATCTGCAAATATTAGATTGCGTGAGTGAGTTAGTGTGTGTGTGTGCCCCTTGCATGGTTGGGGCTGACATCGGGGTCACTCTCACTGAATGTAACTGAAAAAATGTTAGCATAAGTGAGTGAGTCAGCGTGAATGTGTGCCCCCTGGATGGTTGGAGCTGCCATTGAAAGTATTCTCACTGACAGAATCATATATGTTAGGATGAGTGAGTGAGTTAGTGTGTGTCTGCTACCTGCAGGGTTTGGAGCTGACAACAGGGTCGCTGTCACTGAATGGATCTGCAAGTATTAGATTGCGTGAGTCAGCGTGTGTGTGCCCCTTGCATGGTTGGAGCTGACAACAGGGTCGCTGTCACTGAATGGATCTGCAAGTATTAGATTGCGTGAGTCAGCGTGTGTGTGCCCCTTGCATGGTTGGGGCTGACATGGGGGCCGCTGTCACTGAATGGATCTGCAAATATTAGATTGTGTGTGTGTGTGTGTGTGCCCCTTGCATGGTTGGGGCTAACATTGGGGCGGCTGTCACTGAATGGATCTGCAAATATAAGATTGAGTGAGTCAGCGTGTGTGTGCCCCTTGCATGGTTGGGGCTGACATGGGGGCCGCTGTCACTGAATGGATCTGCAAATATTAGATTGCGTGAGTCAGTGTGTGAGCGCCCCTTGCATGGTTGGGGCTGACATGGGGCCGCTGTCACTGAATGGATCTGCAAATATTAGATTGAGTGAGTCAGCGTGTCTGTGCCCCTTGTATGGTTGGGGCTGACATGGGGCCGCTGTCACTGAATGGATCTGCAAATATTAGATTGTGTGAGTCAGCGTGTGTGTGCCCCTTGCAGGGTTGGGGCTGACATCGGGGCCGCTGTCACTGAATGGATCTGCAAATATTAGATTGCGTGAGTGAGTTAGTGTGTGTGTGTGCCCCTTGCATGGTTGGGGCTGACATCGGGGTCACTCTCACTGAATGTAACTGAAAAAATGTTAGCATAAGTGAGTGAGTCAGCGTGAATGTGTGCCCCCTGGATGGTTGGAGCTGCCATTGAAAGTATTCTCACTGACAGAATCATATATGTTAGGATGAGTGAGTGAGTTAGTGTGTGTCTGCTACCTGCAGGGTTTGGAGCTGACAACAGGGTCGCTGTCACTGAATGGATCTGCAAGTATTAGATTGCGTGAGTCAGCGTGTGTGTGCCCCTTGCATGGTTGGGGCTGACATGGGGCCGCTGTCACTGAATGGATCTGCAAATATTAGATTGAGTGAGTCAGCGTGTGTGTGCCCCTTGCATGGTTGGGGCTGACATGGGGGCGCTGTCACTGAATGGATCTGCAAATATTAGATTGAGTGAGTAAGCGTGTGTGAGCGCCCCTTGCATGGTTGGGGCTGACATGGGGCCGCTGTCACTGAATGGATCTGCAAATATTAGATTGAGTGAGTCAGCGTGTCTGTGCCCCTTGTATGGTTGGGGCTGACATGGGGCCGCTGTCACTGAATGGATCTGCAAATATTAGATTGTGTGAGTCAGCGTGTGTGTGCCCCTTGCAGGGTTGGGGCTGACATCGGGGCCGCTGTCACTGAATGGATCTGCAAATATTAGATTGTGTGAGTCAGCGTGTGTGTGCCCCTGCAGGGTTGGGGCTAACATTGGGGGCGCTGTCACTGAATGGATTTGCAAATATAAGATTGTGTGAGTCAGCGTGTGACTGCCCCTTGCATGGTTGGGGCTGACATTTGGGCCGCTGTCACTGAATGGATCTGCAAATATTAGATTGCGGGAGTATGTCAGCGTGTGACTGCCCCTTGCATGGTTGGGGCTAACATTGGGGGCGCTGTCAATGAATGGATCTGCAATTATTAGATTGTGTGAGTCAGTGTGTGTGTGCCCCTTGCATGATTGGGGCTGACACCTTGGGGGCGCTGTCACTGAATGGATCTGCAAATATAAGATTGAGTGAGTCAGCGTGTCTATGCCCCTTATATGGTTGGGGCTGACATCGGGGTCACTCTCACTGAATGTAACTGAAAAAATGTTGGCATAAGTGAGTGAGTCAGCGTGAATGTGTGCCCCCTGGATGGTTGGAGCTGCCATTGAAAGTATTCTCACTGACAGAATCATATATGTTAGGATGAGTGAGTGAGTTAGTGTGTGTCTGCTACCTGCAGGGTTTGGAGCTGACAACAGGGTCGCTGTCACTGAATGGATCTGCAAGTATTAGATTGCGTGAGTCAGCGTGTGTGTGCCCCTTGCATGGTTGGGGCTGACATTGGGGCCGCTGTCACTGAATGGATCTGGAAATATTAGATTGTGTTAGTCAGCGTGTGTGTGCCCCTTGCATGGTTGGGGCTGACATGGGGGCCGCTGTCACTGAATGGATCTGCAAATATTAGATTGCGTGAGTCAGTGTGTGAGTGCCCCTTGCATGGTTTGGGCTGACATGGGGCCGCTGTCACTGAATGGATCTGCAAATATTAGATTGAGTGAGTCAGCGTGTGTGTGCCCCTTGCATGGTTGGGGCTGACATTGGGGCGCTGTCACTGAAAGGATCTGCAAATATTAGATTGAGTGAGTCAGCGTGTGTGTGCCCCTTGCATGGTTGGGGCTGACATGGGGGCGCTGTCACTGAATGGATCTGCAAATATTAGATTGCGTGAGTCAGTGTGTGAGTGCCCCTTGCATGGTTGGGGCTGACATGGGGGCGCTGTCACTGAATGGATCTGCAAATATTAGATTGCGTGAGTCAGTGTGTGTGTGTGTGGCCCTTGCATGGTTGGGGCTGACATGGGGGCGCTGTCACTGAATGGATCTGCAAATATTAGATTGCGTGAGTCAGTGTGTGAGTGCCCCTTGCATGGTTGGGGCTGACATGGGGCCGCTGTCACTGAATGGATCTGCAAATATTAGATTGAGTGAGTCAGCGTGTTTGTGCCCCTTGCATGGTTGGGGCTGACATGGGGGCGCTGTCACTGAAAGGATCTGCAAATATTAGATTGAGTGAGTCAGCGTGTGTGTGCCCCTTGCATGGTTGGGGCTGACATGGGGGCGCTGTCACTGAATGGATCTGCAAATATTAGATTGCGTGAGTCAGTGTGTGAGTGCCCCTTGCATGGTTGGGGCTGACATGGGGCCGCTGTCACTGAATGGATCTGCAAATATTAGATTGCGTGAGTCAGTGTGTGTGTGTGTGCCCCTTCCATGGTTGGGGCTGACATGGGGGCGCTGTCACTGAATGGATCTGCAAATATTAGATTGCGTGAGTCAGTGTGTCTGTGCCCCTTGCATGGTTGGAGCTGACATTGGGGGCGCTGTCACTGAATGGATCTGCAAATATTAGATTGCGTGAGTCAGCGTGTCTGTGCTCCTTGTATGGTTGGGGCTGACATGGGGCCGCTGTCACTGAATGGATCTGCAAATATAAGATTGTGTGAGTCAGCGTGTGACTGCCCCTTGCATGGTTGGGGCTGACATCGGGGCCGCTGTCACTGAATGGATCTGCAAATATTAGATTGCGTGAGTCAGCGTGTCTGTGCCCCTTGTATGGTTGGGGCTGACATGGGGCCGCTGTCACTGAATGGATCTGCAAATATAAGATTGTGTGAGTCAGCGTGTGTGTGCCCCTTGCATGGTTGGGGCTAACATTGGGGGCGCTGTCACTGAATGGATTTGCAAATATAAGATTGTGTGAGTCAGCGTGTGACTGCCCCTTGCATGGTTGGGGCTGACATCGGGGCCGCTGTCACTGAATGGATCTGCAAATATTAGATTGCGTGAGTGAGTTAGTGTGTGTGTGTGTGCCCCTTGCATGGTTAGGGCTGACATCGGGGTCACTCTCACTGAATGTAACTGAAAAAATGTTAGCATAAGTGAGTGAGTCAGCGTGAATGTGTGCCCCCTGGATGGTTGGAGCTGCCATTGAAAGTATTCTCACTGACAGAATCATATATGTTAGGATGAGTGAGTGAGTTAGTGTGTGTCTGCTACCTGCAGGGTTTGGAGCTGACAACAGGGTCGCTGTCACTGAATGGATCTGCAAATATTAGATTGCGTGAGTCAGTGTGTGAGTGCCCCTTGCATGGTTGGGGCTGACATGGGGGCGCTGTCACTGAAGGGGTCTGGAAATATTAGATTGAGTGAGTCAGCGTGTGTGTGCCCCTTGCATGGTTGGGGCTGACATGGGGGCGCTGTCACTGAATGGATCTTCAAATATTAGATTGCATGAGTCAGTGTGTGAGTGCCCCTTGCATGGTTGGGGCTGACATGGGGCCGCTGTCACTGAATGGATCTGCAAATATTAGATTGAGTGAGTCAGCGTGTGTGTGCCCCTTGCATGGTTGGGGCTGACATGGGGGCGCTGTCACTGAATTGATCTGCAAATATTAGATTGCGTGAGTCAGTGTGTGAGTGCCCCTTGCATGGTTGGGGCTGACATGGGGCCGCTGTCACTGAATGGATCTGCAAATATTAGATTGCGTGAGTCAGTGTGTGAGTGCCCCTTGCATGGTTGGGGCTGACATGGGGCCGCTGTCACTGAAAGGATCTGCAAATATTAGATTGCGTGAGTCAGCGTGTGTGTGCCCTTGCATGGTTGGAGCTGACAACAGGGTCGCTGTCACTGAATGGATCTGCAAATATTAGATTGCGTTAGGCAGTGTGTGAGTGCCCCTTGCATGGTTGGAGCTGACAACAGGGTCGCTGTCACTGAATGGATCTGCAAGTATTAGATTGCGTGAGGCAGTGTGTGAGTGCCCCTTGCATGGTTGGAGCTGACAACAGGGTTGCTGTCACTGAATGGATCTGCAAGTATTAGATTGTGTGAGTCAGTGTGTGAGTGTCCCTTGCATGGTTGGGGCTGACATCGGGGCCGCTGTAACTGAATGGATCTGTAAATATTAGATTGCGTGAGTCAGCGTGTCTGTGCCCCTTGCATGGTTGGGGCTGACATTGTGGGCGCTGTCACTGAATGGATCTGCAAGTATTAGATTGCGTGAGTCAGCGTGTGTGTGCCCTTGCATGGTTGGGGCTGACATCGGGGGCGCTGCCACTAAAGGTATCTGAAAACATTAGCGGAAACACTGATTTACACATAATGGCTGACTACTGACACTGGAAGACACAAGACTTCATTGTTTCCAAAATCTTTCATATGAATACCAAGTCCATAACAGTATCCATTATTCACTCCTCAAAAAAAGAAACGTACAGGTATTATGTAGTTCACTGAACCTGACTACCCAAAAAAATCAGGTATTTAAATTTGATATATGTTATTGGAAATTGTTGGTGGCCTGATATTCAACAAACGGTACATCAAAACGCAGCCATTGTCGATTTGCAATGTCTTAAACAACATTGTTTTCACATTTGTTGTAAGGCAAAATGCACGTGCAAGCTATGGCATTCGTAATTTCGGAACATCGCCACAGGACTTATCCAAAGCGGGGAATTGTAGTCTTCTGTTACACGCCAGGGTCGCTGTCGCCGAATGGATCTGCAAATATTAGTTTGAATGAGTGAGTCGGTGTGGGTTTGTGCCCCTGCAGGGTTGGACCTGACATCGGGAGTGCTGTCACTAAAGGTATCTGAAAACATTAGCGGAAACACTAATTCACACATAATAACTGACTACTGACAATGCAAGACACTAGACTAACTTTTTTTCCCCAATCGTTCATATGAATACAAAGTTGATCAGATAGGCATCGATAACAGTATTCATTATATGATAAGATGTATTCTGGTGAAGTGGTGAAGCAGTGAAGAGTGTTTGAACTCTCATTCGTTTTACAATTAAAACGAACAAGCCCAAGCTTCCATAAAGAAACGTATCTGAACACACTGGATAAACAATTGGTTGATTTGAAAACATACCAACAAACAAACTTTATGATATGTAAATTCACAGTCATCACTTGCTAAATTATGAGAAACATATTCTCCTTTCCTAAACTTTTTACTTACAGAAAACTGTGATCTTGTCAGCTTGTCTACATGTAGAGTTGCATGTTTCGAACCCTGTAGGTTTTGTGAGCGTAGTGTGGTTTGCTGCACACCGGATGGTCATTCCATTGTCTTGTCTGCTGACATTCAGTGTCAGCTGACTTATTCGATCAGAGGTGCAGGTTCCTGGACTTGAATAGGCAGGGTTTAGTCTGGCTAGACTAGTTATGTCCTCTGGCGTGTTGCCACGGTACCTGAACCACAAGAAGTCTCCTGCAGGTTTTCCAACAGATCCCTGACACTGGAATTGAACCTGCTGTCCGTTTGTGTAGCCATCAGCGTAGGCAGGAGTCAGTGTTATGGTTGGTGTCAAGGGTTGTGCTGCAAGGGAACATTGTATCACTTAGAAAATATGAACTACGTGACGCCAACAGGTCCAACCGCATCCTAATTCTAACATTTGGAGATAAAAACAAATTCTGCAGACTGTGTCTTTGTCGTAGTTTGTTTTTTCTTACAACCAAAGTATGTTGAAGACATAGAGGATGTTGAAGATCCCAGTAAATTCTGTTACTGAAAGGTCCTGGATCTCCTGTAATAATTTGTCCTGTACTGTATAAGTTATGTTTCGATATGTAAATGTTAAAACTCACTTACCTTGCAACAAAAGGTTCATATCAGCTGTCTTTGTATCAGCCGTGTTCCCTGCTGTTTGATAATTAACAGTACAGCGGTAGGCTGCCTCATCCTCACATTCTACACGATCAAAACGCACACTTGTGGAACCATCAGACATGATGAGTGTTGTTCGATCTCTAAAAGTGGTTGAAACGCTTGCCGCAAAGCGTGATGAGTTGACTGGTCTAAAAACTGCAATGTCCGTATAAGATGGATCGGTAGTTCTTTTTCTACTCATTGTTATTGAAAAAAGTACTTCTCCCGGTGCCAGTACATATTCACACTTGACAGTGACTGGGTTGGGTCCTTTAATTCCTGTCTCATCTCTTGCTGTCAGCGTTATTCCATAAACATGAGAAACACCTGCAATGAAAAGTGTATGATTTAACCTCTCATTCACCACCTTTAAAATCACATTAAACACTTTATTAAATTTTCGAATTTATTAAAGACTACATTAAACATACATTAAATATGTATGTTTAACATTATGAACATTAAACATAAAACATTAAATAAACATTAAATAATTATTAAACATGACATTAAACACTTTATTAAATTTTCGAATCAATGACATCCCTGATGCGAAACCAATGAACGAAAAGCCTTATCCCTGTTTACACATTGGTTGTCTCCCAACTAAATTAGGTTCAAACTGTACACAAATTATACTTATTCGTCTACTTATCCGTGGTTTGGTGACTCGTTTTGGTCCCGACTATGTTCATAATACTATAGGCTCATCGCGAAAATAGACACCTTGCGCTTTTTCTAGAGCTGAACGAAAGCCAATATAGCTGATCGTGCTGTCGACAATTGATTTAGCTGTTTCACGAGCCGGGATCACCCTTCACTTGAACATTTGAGCTATGTATTCTAATGATATTGATCCTAGACTGTCACAGAACGTGAATATCAGACCAAGCAAACTCTCATTATACCAATAATACGCTGTCTAGGACAAAACGCATTACGGATTTAACACAATCATTCGTAGTACACAAATATTCAAAACAAAATTTTGAATTCCTTGCCAATTTATGAAAGATATGGGACATTAAAAACAGAGAGGTATGTTGTTAAGACCAGCTGTCTCTAACCACGTGGACATGTTTCATCATAATGTAAAACAGTGGTGAAGTGAATAAAAAAAAAACCACACAAAAACTACATATATAACAACAAAAATACCAGATGGACTGGCAATGCACGAACAGAGCAAGCATTTTGTTAGTGATCTACAGGCTTCATCGCGTAAAATTGTTGATTATGAGTAACTTGCATAAGTTATCAGACGTCAAATGGAATAGCGCAGCCTCGGTGCTGCATAACAATTGATAACACCATGTTAAATACATTGGGAAGAGAAAACACATTGCTGAATCACCCATGTATATACTCCCATATCAACTTAGTCAAGATAACAAACTTGCATTCTAACAGCGGATCTTTTGAATCGAGGTCAGGCGCCTTGTCCACATAAGACCAAAGACGGCGTCCTAAGCTTCACGCCCCGTTACACCGGGTAGCAGATAACAGGGTTCATTCATGCAGCCTGTGTACTTCCCATGTAAGGCAATCGCTACTCCTTTACAAATGCCTCTTCTCATGACTGTGATGCGTTTACGTATTCAGCTAGAAATAAACGCTGAGGGCACATCGACCTGGGAGTATTATTGAGGACATGGGTACTTCCTGGTTCTGAATATTGACACCGAAACACGGGGGGATATGACAAAAGTAAATACATATGTTAGAACACTATATCAAACGAAGATGAATAAATTGATTAGACAATGACTTTGTCATACCAATTCCTTCACATGTACTTTGTTGAAACCGTAGTGGTCATTACCGCGAAAAGCCCCAACCAGTTCTCACGTTTAACAAATACTCAATAACTCACCGAATGACATAAGGTAAATCGTGAATAGCCAACACGAGATGGTCGGTATCCATACCATGATAACAACGGCACACAGAATTCACTCCTCAAGTTATGTTGATCTTTTTATAATATGAGACGTCAGAGAATAGCTGTGATCCACTTTTAAGTCCCGGGATTGCAAACATTATACACATGCGCAGTGACGACTCAGAGAATTCTGGGTAGAATGACCATATGTGTCAATGGGATCTGGTTTCAAAACCACAACCAGGTCTTCCGCGTGACTTGTGAAGGCTTAGAAATGTTTCACACAATAATATTTTAATAAACATACTGTTGTGTTTTAAATGATTGACGGAATAACGATTTGTGTTTCAAACCTTTCGCCTTAGGTTGTATTTACCAGCAGGTCATGTCTAGTTTTATCCCTGCCCAGACCAACGTTTCATCAATGGGAGCTGGGATGTTGTGTCACTGCTTAAAACACAGATCCTGTGTTATTGTGTATCAATAAGGACCTGACTGATGGTGTGTTGTCTATCATGTGGGGCCTGGCTGATGGCGTATTGTCTTCCATTCGGGGCCTGGCTGATGGCAGTGCTGTCTCTCTTGTAGGACCTGGCTTATTGTGTATTTAGTATACAGTAGGCCCTGGCTGATGTTGTATTGTCTATCATGTAGAACCTTACTGATGGTGGTGTTGTCTGTCTTGTAGGATCTGGTCTATGGTGTATTATGCATCAGGTAGGCCCTGGCTGATGATGTATTCCAATCAAGTAGGCCCTGGCTGATGTTGTATTGTCTATCATGAGGGCCCTGGCTGATGTTGTATTGTCTATCATGAGGGGCCTTGCTGATGGTGCATTATCTATCATGTAGAACCTTACTGATGGTGGTGTTGTCTGTCTTGTAGGATCTGGTCTATGGTGTATTATGCATCAAGTAGGCCCTGGCTGATGGTGTATTATGCATCAAGTAGACCCTGGCTGATGTTGTATTGTCTATCATGAGGGCCCTGGCTGATGTTGTATTGTCTATCATGAGGGGCCTTGCTGATGGTGCATTGTCTATCATGTAGAACCTTACTGATGGTGGTGTTGTCTGTCTGTCTTGTAGGATCTGGTCTATGATGTATTATGCATCAAGTAGGCCCTGGTTGATGGTGTGTTCTATATTAAGTAGGCCCTGGCTTATGTTGTATTGTCTATCATGAGGGGCCTTGCTGATGGTGCATTGTCTATCATGTAGAACCTTACTGATGGTGGTGTTGTCTGTCTTGTAGGATCTGGTCCATGATGTATTATGGCTAAAGTAGGCCCTGGCTGATGGTGTGTTCTATATTAAGTAGGCCCTGGCTGATGTTGTATTGTCTATCATGAGGGGCCTGGCTGATGTGGTATTGTCTATCATGTAGAACCTTACTGATGGTGGTGTTGTCTGTCTTGTAGGACCTGGATGGTGGTGTATTGTGCATCATGTAGGACCTGGCTGGTGGTGTATTGTGTATCATGTGGGACCTAACTGGTGGTGTATTGTGTATCATGTAGGACCTGGATGGTGGTGTATTGTGCATCATGTAGGACCTGGATGGTGGCGTATTGTGTATCATGTAGGACCTGGATGGTGGTGTATTGTGTATCATGTAGGACCTGGATGGTGGTGTATTGTGCATCATGTAGGACCTGGATGGTGGTGTATTGTGCATCATGTAGGACCTGGGTGGTGGCGTATTGTGTATCATGTAGGACCTGGATGGTGGTGTATTGTGTATCATGTAGGACCTGGATGGTGGTGTATTGTGTATCATGTAGGACCTGGATGGTGGTGTATTGTGTATCATGTAGGACCTGGATGGTGGTGTATTGTGCATCATTTAGGACCTGGCTGATGGTGTATTGTGCATCATGTAGGACCTGGCTGGTGGTGTATTGTGCATCATGTAGGACCTGGATGGTGGTGTATTGTGTATCATGTAGGACCTGGCTGATGGTGTATTGTGCATCATGTAGGACCTGGCTGGTGGTGTATTGTGCATCATGTAGGACCTGGATGGTGGTGTATTGTGTATCATGTAGGACCTGGATGGTGGTGTATTGTATGTCATGTAGCACCAGGCTGATGGTGTATTGTGTATCATGTAGGACCTGGATGGTGGTGTATTGTGTGTCATGTAGCACCAGGCTGATGGTGTATTGTGTATCATGTAGGACCTGGCTGGTGGTGTATTGTGTATCATGTAGGACCTGGCTGGTGGTGTATTGTGTATCATGTAGGACCTGGATGGTGGTGTATTGTGCATCATGTAGGACCTGGATGGTGGCGTATTGTGTATCATGAAGGACCTGGCTGGTGGCGTATTGTGTATCATGTAGGACCTGGATGGTGGTGTATTGTGTATCATGTAGGACCTGGCTGGTGGTGTATTGTGTATCATGTAGGACCTGGATGGTGGTGTATTGTGCATCATGTAGGACCTGGATGGTGGCGTATTGTGTATCATGTAGGACCTTGCTGGTGGTGTATTGTGTATCATGTAGGACTTGGATGGTGGTGTATTGTGCATCATGTAGGACCTGCATGGTGGCGTATTGTGTATCATGTAGGACCTGGATGGTGGCGTATTGTGTGTCATGTAGGACCTGGATGGTGGTGTATTGTGCATCATGTAGGACCTTGCTGGTGGCGTATTGTGTATCATGTAGGACCTGGATGGTGGTGTATTGTGTATCACGTAGGACCTGGCTGGTGGTGTATTGTGTATCATGTAGGACCTGGCTGGTGGTGTATTGTGTGTCATGTAGTACCTGGATGATGGTGTATTGTGTATCATGTAGGACCTTGCTGGTGGTGTATTGTGTATCATGTAGGACCTGGATGGTGGTGTATTGTGCATCATGTAGGACCTGCATGGTGGCGTATTGTGTATCATGTAGGACCTGGATGGTGGCGTATTGTGTGTCATGTAGGACCTGGATGGTGGTGTATTGAGCATCATGTAGGACCTTGATGGTGGCGTATTGTGTATCATGTAGGACCTGGATGGTGGTGTATTGTGTATCACGTAGGACCTGGCTGGTGGTGTATTGTGTATCATGTAGGACCTGGCTGGTGGTGTATTGTGTGTCATGTAGTACCTGGATGATGGTGTATTGTGTATCGTGTAGGACCTTGCTGGTGGTGTATTGTGTATCATGTAGGACCTGGATGGTGGTGTATTGTGCACCATGTAGGACCTGCATGGTGGCGTATTGTGTATCATGTAGGACCTGGATGGTGGCGTATTGTGTGTCATGTAGGACCTTGATGGTGGCGTATTGTGTATCATGTAGGACCTGGATGGTGGTGTATTGTGTATCATGTAGGACCTGGCTGGTGGTGTATTGTCTATCATGTAGGACCTGGATGGTGGTGTATTGTCTGTCATGTAGTACCTGGATGATGGTGTATTGTGTATCATGTAGGACCTGGCTGGTGGTGTATTGTGTATCATGTAGGACCTGGCTGGTGGTGTATTGTGCATCATGTAGGACCTGGATGATGGCGTATTGTGTATCATGTAGGACCTGGATGGTGGTGTATTGTGCATCATGTAGGAACTGGCTGATGGTGTATTGTGCATCATGTAGGATCTGGCTGATGGTGTATTGTGTATCATGTAGGACCTGGCTGGTGGTGTATTGTGCATCATGTAGGACCTGGTTGGTGGTGTATTGTGTATCATGTAGGACCTGGATGGTGGTGTATTGTGCATCATGTAGGACCTGGTTGGTGGTGTATTGTGTATCATGTAGGACCTGGCTGGTGGTGTATTGTGCATCATGTAGGACCTGGCTGTTGGTGTATTGTGTATCATGTAGGACCTGGATGGTGGTGTATTGTGCATCATGAAGGACCTCGCTGGTGGTGTATTGTGCATCATGTAGGAGCTAACTGGTGGTGTATTGTGTATCATGTAGGACCTGGCTGGTGGTGTATTGTGCATCATGTAGGACCTGGCTGGTGGTGTATTGTGTATCATGTAGGACCTGGCTGGTGGTGTATTGTGCATCATGTAGGACCTGGATGGTGGTGTATTGTGCATCATGTAGGACCTGGATGGTGGTGTATTGTGTATCATGTAGGACCTGGATGGTGGTGTATTGTGTATCATGTAGGACCTGGCTGGTGGTGTATTGTGTATCATGTAGGACCTGGCTGGTGGTGTATTGTGTATCATGTAGGACCTGGATGGTGGTGTATTGTGCATCGTGTAGGACCTGGCTGGTGGTGTATTGTGTGTCATGTAGGAACTGGCTGGTGGTGTTTTGTGTATCATGTAGGACCTGGCTGGTGGTGTATTGTGCATCATGTAGGACCTGGCTGGTGGTGTATTGTGTATCATGTAGGACCTGGATGGTGGTGTATTGTGCATCATGTAGGACCTGGCTGGTGGTGTATTGTGTATCATGTAGGACCTGGATGGTGGTGTATTGTGCATCATGTAGGACCTGGCTGGTGGTGTATTGTGTATCATGTGGGACCTGGATGGTGGTGTATTGTGCATCATGTAGGACCTGGATGGTGGTGTATTGTGTATCATGTAGGACCTGGATGGTGGTGTATTGTATGTCATGTAGCACCAGGCTGGTGGTGTATTGTGTATCATGTAGGACCTGGATGGTGGTGTATTGTGTATTATGTAGGACCTGGCTGGTGGTGTATTGTGTATCATGTAGGACCTGGCTGGTGGTGTATTGTGTATCATGTAGGACCTGGATGGTGGTGTATTGTGTATCATGTAGGACCTGGATGGTGGTGTATTGTGTGTCATGTAGGACCTGGCTGGTGGTGTATTGTGTATCATGTAGGACCTGGATGGTGGTGTATTGTGCATCATGTAGGACCTGGCTGGTGGTGTATTGTGTATCATGTAGGACCTGGATGGTGGTGTATTGTGTGTCATGTAGGACCTGGCTGGTGGTGTTGACTGTCTTGTAGGACCTGGATGGTGGTGTATTGTGCATCATGTAGGACCTGGCTGGTGGTGTATTATGTATCATGTAGGACCTGGATGGTGGTGTATTGTGTATCATGTAGGACCTGGATGGTGGTGTATTGTGTGTCATGTAGGACCTGGATGGTGGTGTATTGTGTATCATGTAGGACCTGGATGGTGGTGTATTGTGCATCATGTAGGACCTGGCTGGTGGTGTATTGTGTATCATGTAGGACCTGGATGGTGGTGTATTGTGTATCATGTAGGACCTGGATGGTGGCGTATTGTGCATCGTGTAGGACCTGGCTGGTGGTGTATTGTGTATCATGTAGGACCTGGATGGTGGTGTATTGTGCATCATGTAGGACCTGGATGGTGGTGTATTGTGTGTCATGTAGGACCTGGATGGTGGCGTATTGTGTATCATGTAGGACCTGGATGGTGGTGTATTGTGTATAATGTAGGACCTGGATGGTGGTGTATTGTGCATCATGTAGGACCTGGATGGTGGTGTATTGTGCATCATGTACGACCTGGATGGTGGTGTATTGTGTGTCATGTAGGACCTGGCTGGTGGTGTATTGTGCATCATGTAGTACCTGGATGGTGGTGTATTGTGTATCATGTAGGACCTGGATGGTGGTGTATTGTGTGTCATGTAGGACCTGGCTGTTTGTGTATTGTGTATCATGTAGGACCTGGATGGTGGTGTATTGTGCATCGTGTAGGGCCTGGATGGTGGTGTATTGTGTGTCATGTAGGACCTGGATGGTGGTATATTGTGCATCGTGTAGGACCTGGATGGTGGTGTATTGTGTGTCATGTAGGACCTGGATGGTGGTGTATTGTGTGTCATATAGGACCTGGATGGTGGTGTATTGTGTATCATGTAGGACCTGGATGGTGGTGTATTGTGCATCATGTAGGACCTTGCTGGTGGTGTATTTTGTATCATGTAGGACCTGGATGATGGTGTATTGTGCATCATGTAGGACCTGGCTGGTGGTGTATTGTGTATCATGTAGGACCTGGATGATGGTGTATTGTGCATCATGTAGGACCTGGCTGGTGGTGTATTGTGTATCATGTAGCACCTGGCTGGTGGTGTATTGTGTATCATGTAGGACCTGGCTGGTGGTGTATTGTGTGTCATGTAGGACCTGGATGGTGGTGTATTGTGCATCATGTAGGACCTGGATGGTGGTGTATTGTGCATCATGTAGGACCTGGATGGTGGTGTATTTTGTATCATGTAGGACCTGGCTTATAGTGTATCGTATGTTATGTAGGATCTGGCTGGTGGTGTATTGTGTGTGATGTAGTACCTGGTTGATGGTGTATTGTTGATCATGTAGGACCTAGCTGATGGTTTATTCTCTTCTATGTGGGACCCACCCGATAATGTTTTAACTACAACCTAGGACCTTGTTGATGGTGTGCTGTCTGCGATGTCAAGGGCTGGTGGTGTATTTTGTGAAATGTGGGACCTAGCTGAGGGTGATATTGCGTGAAATTGCTCATTTTGTCTACTTTCCCAGGTGTCACTCAGCACATGCCATTAATCTTTTGTTTATCACATATACCAAATATCCATACACTCCAGAAGGTCATAGATAACATCGAATTCCAAGATACCTTTTTTGTTGGGTCACATGGTATGTATTTTCAATTTCGAGCTGGATAGAAACAAATTGTCATTTAGAATTTTTTATTACCTTTTAGTACTTGGGTGAATGTTAATGTACATTAAAAGTTACATTAAGCAGTAATGCAATCTCGAAAACCCCCACTATAGGTCTATTGTTCAGCGCAAGAACACAACACTGCAAGTTCGGCAACGTTATCGACAATGTCGATGTTTTTCCCGTTGTGTGTTGTTCTCTCTTACATCCTACATTCAGCTCATAGCGTCAACGTGAAGATATATCCTGACATTTGTAAAGAAAAGGTGTTCCCTAAACTGGTCGAAGGGTACAGATTCGTCCATGACGATGTGCCTGTTATCCCACAATTGTCGGTCAAGGATGCTGAGTTGGAAGAAGGCGAAAAGGGGAATTCAGAAGCCTCAGATGCAGCTGGGATGAAGGAAGACCCCAAATCAATGCCGCTACTCAGTGGTCCGGTGCTGACTCCAGTCGGTACAAAGGACGCATCATCCCCATCGGCCCGAGATTCTGCCACAGGGGAGGCAGAGGGTCCCAGAATACTTTCGTACGGCCTTTCATACATTGGGACAAACTCATCACATTAAACGTCCCCAAAGTGTCCCAGAGAATTGTCAGCGTGATCCCGACTTCATCAGTGTGGGTGCCGTGAAGAGGTTCACCACCCGGAAGCCCCGGTACCCGGTGGTGATCGAGTATGGGTGTGGTCGACAGGCGGGACGGGAGTACAAGTATGTGACTGGGACTACCGAGGCGAAGTGTGATCACAAGGGATGGTGGACACTGCCGGCTCTTCTCTGTGCTCGTAAGTGAATGAGTGAGAGGTTGAGTGGGTGGTTGAGTGAGTGAGTGAGTGGTTGAGTGAATGAGTGAGTGAGTGAGTGGTTGTGTGGTTGAGTGAGTGGTTGAGTGAGTGAGTGGTTGAGTGAGTGAGAGTGGTTGAGTGAGTGAGTGAGTGAGTGGTTGAGTGAGTGTTTGAGTGGTTGAGTGAGTGAGTTAGTAGTGAGTGGTTGAGTGAGTTGTTGTGTGGTTGAGTGAGTGAGAGTGGTTGAGTGAGTGAGTGGTTGAGTGGGTGGTTGCGTGAGTGAGTGCTTGAGCGAGTGGGTGACTGGTTGAGTGAGTGGTTGAGTGGTTGAGTGAGTGGTTGAGTGAATGAGTGAGTGGTTAAGTGGGTGGTTGTGTGGTTGAGTGAGTGGTTGAGCTGCTGCGTTCCTAGTAGATGTGGTAGATGTGAGTTGTACTGAAGATATATAAAATAAGATCTTCAGTAATTTCACTCATGCATCCGTGAATATAAAAGCGATTTGTGAAACGTCAGTTTTAGCTCATTTATGTCGTGTATTGTTTGTGTGTAAATATAGAGGCAGGAGTTCAGCTGTGTTAAGGCAAACATAACATGCAAGGTGACTCTCTATGTCCATATTAACACATTTATATCATGTAAATATCAAGCAGCATTTCACCTGTATTAAGGCAAACATAACGTGCTAGGTGACTCTCTATGTCCATATTGCCACATTTATATCATGTAAATATCAAGCAGCATTTCACCTGTATTAAGGCAAACATAACGTGCTAGGTGACTCTCTATGTCCATATTAGCACATTTATATCATGTAAATATCAAGCAGCATTTCACCTGTATTAAGGCATACATAACATGCTAGGTGACTCTCTATGTCCATATTAGCACATTTATATCATGTAAATATCAAGCAGCATTTCACCTGTATTAAGGCAAACATAACATGCAAGGTGACTCTCTATGTCCATATTAACACATTTATATCATGTAAATATCAAGCAGCATTTCACCTGTATTAAGGCATACATAACATGCAAGGTGACTCTCTATGTCCATATTAGCACATTTATATCATGTAAATATCAAGCAGCATTTCACCTGTATTAAGGCATACATAACATGCAAGGTGACTCTCTATGTCCATATTAGCACATTTATGTTATGTAAATATCAAGCAGCATTTCACCTGTATTAAGGCATACATAACATGCAAGGTGACTCTCTATGTCCATATTAGCACATTTATATCATGTAAATATCAAGCAGCATTTCACCTGTATTAAGGCAAACATAACATGCTAGGTGACTCTCTTTGTCCATATTAGCACATTTATGTTATGTAAATATCAAGCAGCATTTCACCTGTATCAAGGCATACATAACGTGCTAGGTGACTCTCTATGTCCATATTAGCACATTTATGTCATGTAAATATCAAGCAGCATTTCACCTGTATTAAGGCATACATAACATGCAAGGTGACTCTCTATGTCCATATTAGCACATTTATATCATGTAATTATCAAGAAGTAGTTCAGATGTGTCAAGGCATATATAACATGCATGGTGATGGTATACTTCAATTTTAACACAATTAATAATGTAATTCTCGTTCGGCAGTTTGCTGAACAAGGTAATGACAGACGACTCGGGTTGAAAAAAATGAATATGCCTTTTTTAGAAAACTTGCCTTGTTCCTGCACGTGGCAAGTTTGTACGAATAGGTTCATTTAAGTACGGGTCATGATGAAATAGAAAAACACAATCCACATATATAAGTTTTTAATATCTTTGTATTTTCTCAGATAAACAACTGTTATAAAACGAGAGGATTTTGTGGACGTTTGCTTACAAGAAATATATGCACTCATTTCTTTCACCGCAGAAGTTGTTTGATGCTTTACATTATATTTCTGTATCACTGGATACTGGGGATCAAATCTCCTAAGACGCCAGTACTCGATTTGAAGAGTTATGTCCCTTTCTACTTGTAAGGATTCGGGTTCGAATTCCAGATTCGGCTTGATTGTGATTCTTGGTTTGTCATCACATAGGGACGGTGAGCTCATTGGTAACCAGACTGGTACATATCTCAGACTTGAATCACAGCATATCCTTCTAAGACAGACAGACAGTTTATTCAGTATGCAAGGCCAGTTCAAGTACGGTTCAGTTTTAGAAGATACATCAAAATCAACGTGATCTTGAACATAGTATAATATATTTACCTGAGTCTAAATATATGTTCCAAATACATTGCTAAAGATTTGATAACTTCTGCATTGGTCGAATTCAACAAATTGATCATCAATTGATTGTCTGTGCTTGTAAAATCTAAATTAGGTATCTCAACGTTTTATATTTTTCACATTTTTCGCATTTCCTTCTAAGTAACATTTCAAGATAACACTCCCTGATAGAAGTGAAATACTGTTCACAGAGGTGTTCTCCGACTAACTCATTGTACAATTTGTTTCCCAAACACATTGTTGACTCTTATCCACAATTTCCACAGTTTATCAGAAACTAAAAAATACTATAAAATACTTAATATTTAAAAATCCCACAGCTGTTGGCTGTTACCTGGAACACTGGGGAAGAGCTGAGTACGCCGGAAACGTGTCTATCACAGTGTCCGGCCGGACATGTCAACCGTGGACAGCGGACACGCCACACGTAAGGAACAAGTTCTGTCGGTCCACCAGCCTCTACTACGTGGACGGGTCGGTCAGCGCTGCGGGCAACTCCTGCAGGGACCCGGATGGAACCGGCAAGCCTTGGTGCTACACCACTGATCCCATGAAACGCTGGGAGATTTGTAACATTCAGGAATGTAGGAGAGGTAATGTGTGTTTGTTTGTTTGTTTATTTGTTTGTTGTTTAAAGTCACACAGAAATGTTCCCGCTATACGACGGCGGTCTGTAAAGAATTGAGTCTGGACCAGACAATCCAGTGATTGACATCACGAGCATCGATCCACGCAATTGGGATACGATGACATGCATCAACCAAGTCAGCGAGCCTGACCACCCGTTCCCGTTAGTCGCCCCTTACGACAACCACAGTCGCCTTTTACGGTTTGTGATTCAGTGTGATTCAGTTGCGTGAAACAGTATTTCGATAGTATAACGGCATTATGATGAAGCATCAGTTCTTATAGGCTGCACACAGATCAATGTTTCCCATAGACTTCTATAGTAAGGTTACGTTTCTTTTAAAATAACTAAGCATTCAACTATTGTTAAATGTAATGCCTTAAAGCAGAAATAAAACTGGAAAAGGACTAGCTTAGCCAGTTCCTTTTCAGAGTACAGGAGACCCGTGAAGATTCCGGGGTAGAATAGTTCTTCAGCAACCCATGCTTGCCGTAAAAGGTGACTATGCTTGCCGAAAAGGCGACTATGCTTGTCGTAAAAGGCGACTAACGGGATCGGGTGGTCAGGCTCGCTGACTTGGATCCCAATTGCGTGGATCGATGCTCATGATATTAATGACTGGATTGTCTGGTCAAGACTCGACTATTTACCGACCGCCGTCATATAGCTGAGTGCGTCGTTAAACAACAAACCAACCAACCAACCGAGTACAGGCAGCTAAACACACCACCCTGAACCATATGTCACCATCTGTCTGTGGTCATATTTACCATGCGTCATCATGTTAAAAACGACAACACTAAATACAGAAAAAACATGGTCAGTTTAAACTAAAGGATGGATATACATATTTATCATATAATGAGTAGGTTTCTCGGCAGGATAAAGCCAACGGATAAAAACGATATCCGTTGGGGTCATATGCGGATAGAGATGCAAATATCAAAGGTCAAGTAGGGACTACTTTCACTGTTTATAAACAAACATGGCGTCGCCCTCGTCATTTGGCGATCGAGTCAGAATTAACCATCGGGAATCTGGATAAACTACAGGGATAATTGCTATCATTATCAAAAGAACAGTCTAATATACTGAAAATCAGTGTCTAACTGTGACATAGCTAAGGCATTTTATAAGTTTTGGGAACTTTGGAGATATAAATTTCGACACAATTTTGCGAGGGCACGAGGACTAGCCAAGCGGGATCAGTAGCCATATCTGTGCTTGTAGACCTCTGCGGCTTGAAACCTTCTCCACAAATTAAAATAGTTGGATTTGGAACCAAATATGTTTGAATTGTTACCTTGTTTCGTTTTGTCGCTGTGTGTACATCTGACTACACTTCTTAACGTTATGACAGACCGACAGTCAACAACGTCTGACCGTGGCCGTGACGTCTCATAGACTAGGGTTAGAGTAGCTTCCCTTTGACAAAGGGCAGTTACTCTAGCGGACAGACCGATGGATTGCCGCGAAAGGCAATTAAAAACAATTGTTGTTTTGGGTATATGTTCCTTCGCCACTGTATAAGAAACAGATTTCAGTTGGAACTATATTGGCTACTGTCACTGTCCGACTGACCCATCACTTACCCTATGACGTATTATATATTAATGCGCGCATTCCAGGAAAACTCGCAATGTTTCGGTAATGTTTGTGAGAGAGGGAAAGCAATTTTGAAGCACAGAATTAAAGAATGACATTATATGATAAAGAGCTTATCACGCTTGTGTGTTTGGGGATGGTAAATATCCTGTATTAGGAATAAACACTTAGTCTATGTATTTATCTCGCCAAGGCTCGCTAAATACAATGTTTATTCCTAATGCAGGATATTTACCATCCCCAAACACACTCGCGTGATAACCTCTATATGTTTAAAAAACATAAACATCTTACACAAAATCATCCAATCAAGCTGCAAGTTGGTTCAATCTACGAATCTGCTTGTTGAATTACTTTTCTGATTGGGTGTAATAGTACGTGCAACTGTAGGGGCGATAGTGTTGACTGTAGACACAGGCACACACCCAGCGTTCTAAATAGGTGGGAGAGTGAGCTTTAAACAGTAAATTGTTCTAGCACAGCTGAGTATGCTTTTACACCGCTTTCTCCAATATTTGGTGTGGGGACTCCGCTGTTCGCATGATCAGAAATTACCCATTGAAGGCGAGATAAAGAAAAAGGATGATTGCCAATGCTGTGTTACTCTGTTCACAGAGAGGGAGTGTGGCTCCCCTCCTAACATCCCAGGTGCGACCCCTATCCAGACGCAGGTCAAGGTTCATGGTGTCGACGTGACCTACACGTGTTGGGACGGAATGACCTACATGTCCGGAGAGAAGACCATCTCTTGTGACATGGCGACTGAACAGTGGTCAGAGCCAACTCTCCTGTGTTATGGTAACGTTCTTTTTCCTTTTAAAACAACGAGCGAGTGAAGATAAGGTGAGGTGTCGAGGTTGATTGGGGTTTAACGTCGCGTCCAAGATTATTGCACTTATATAGCGACGTGCATGTGTGTGGCTGCTTGTACTAGTCCGGCCTGATGCCGATTTATAGTGCTAGTTCACTGAGATACCATGCCGCAGTTTAACATGAATACCCCACTCAGACACAGTATACCGACTCCGAGCCGACCAGTCCTTGTTTTAGCCCCTTAATGCCGAGCGCCAGACAGGGTAACAACAAGTACCATCTTTTAACGTCTTTTGGTATGACGCGGCCGGGGATCGAACTCCGGACCTTCCGCTCTCCGGACGGGCGTTCTACCACAAGACCACGGAGGCGGTCGAGTGAAGATAAACCTATATCGGGAAGGGTATATTGTTTTAAGTTTAAAGCCCGATGTAACGGCCCGGTTAGGCCTACAAATGAAAAATGTAAACTTGGAAATGTTGGTATGAATGAGTTCGGTTTGATGCCGCATTGAAAGTGAGCGAGTGAGTGAGTTGGGTATAACGCCGCTTTTAACGGTATTACAGTTATATCACGGCGTGTCAGCTTAATGTGGGTGGAAAGCCCGAAGTGATGCAGGCCTCAGACATTTACCACTTCGGTGAAACCCACGCGCCCAGGTATGCATGGTGCTGACAAACCTAGAAACATAACCGCTTTGAAAGGTATTCAAGTTATATCATTGAGTGTCAGCTTAATGTGGGAGGAAAGCACGACGTCGACACGTGCAGGTCTCAGACGTTTACCACTTTGAGCACGGGTGTGGTGCTAACAAACCTAGAAACATAATCGGGTCGATCCGGGATTCGATCATACGTTTTTGTCGTGTCCAAGGGATGCTACTCTGCATAACTTTTTTCGGCGTCTTAGACGTCGGGGCCACCGGTGCCCCAGATTATTGGTACGAGATTTATCAGACATGTTCGAATGGCTGAGAGCTTGTCTGCTCTTTCTTACACTAGCAAGTGTTGAACTTGATGCGATCAAATAAATACCTATGGCTAAAGAGAGGTGAAGTGAAATGGGGTTTAACGTCGCGTTCAAGACTATTGCACCTATAGGGTTAGGGTTAGGGTTAGGGTTAGGGTTAGGGTTACAATGCGACGTGCATGAACGTATGCGTGGCTGCTTGTCCTGGTCTGGACACAAGCCGGATGTTATAGTGCTAGCCAACTGAGATACTGTACCGCAGTGTAACATGAATATCAAACTCAAACACAGTACACTAGTTCCGATCTGACCAGTCCTTATTTGAACCCCTTCATGCCGAGCGCCAGGCAGGGTAACAATAAATACTTTTAACTTCTTTTGGTAGGACCCTGCCAAGGATCGAACCCCGACCTTCCGCTCTCCGACAGACGCTCTAGGCAAAGGAGGGGCCGTCTGGTAGCCTAGTGGTTAAAGCGTTCGCTCGTCACGCTGAAGACCCGGGTTCGATTCCCGACATGGGTACAATGTGTGAAGCCCATTTCTGGTGTCCACCGCCGTGATATTGCTGGAATATTGCTAAAAGCGGCGTATTACCATACTCACTCACTCTAGACCACGGAGGCGGTCCTAAAATGACTGCCTATTACCGTATGATTATGAACAGATCAATCGTCCAAGATATGTTTATACTGTGTTTATTTACTTCTTCAAAGAAAATCTACTGTCGACTTAGACTTGCTCGTGTTCAAACATTAGGAAGACGCTTTGACAAACAATTGCCATGATCAATTAGTTTTGCAATAAGAAACAAATCGGTGACCGTGTGAAGGAGTTAAGATTATAAATTAAAGTTATTTTTGCGTCCCTTCTGAGAAAAAAAAAGATTGTATGTTTTGAAGCAGTTGTTCTGCCTCAAACAACAGTATCAGATCCCACAGAACATAGGGCTGTCGGTCCCTGACGATATGTATCTTTAGGGGATAGTGAGGTGAGGTGAAATGGGGTTTAACGTCGCGTCCAAGATTATTGCACTTATATAGCGACGTGCATGAACGTGTGTGTGTGTGTGTGTGTGTGTGTGTGTGTGTGTGGCTGCTTGTACTAGTCCGGACTGATGCCGATTTATAGTGCTAGCCCACTGAGATACCATGCCGCAGTTGAACATGAATACCCCACTCAGACACAGTATACTGACTCCGAGCCCACCAGTCCTTGTTTTAGCCCCTTAATGCTGAGCGCCAGACAGGGTAACAACAAGTTCCATCTTTTAACGTCTTTTGGTATGACGCGGCTGGGGATCGAACTCCGGACCTTCCGCTCTCCGGGCGGACGTACGCTCTACCACACGGAGGCGGTCCTTTATGGGATAGGTTACACAGACTTGGTTTCGGTGAATTATTTTCTTGTGAAAGTCGATCGATGGTATGACAGCCAGCAGACAGTGAAGATGGTACTCAAAGTGCAATCCAATTGTGGCGTGGAAACAAATCCCCAAACCCACATAATCAACGTCACAGATTGTGTATTATTTCTATTGTTATCTTATATTTTTCATCATGGTATATAGAAATAATTATGTTTACAAAAACATTTGGAAGGATGAACTTGCCATATATAAACCTTGACTGCATTGAGTTCGGTTTCGCTAACATGCACTGACACTGTGATATCCTCACGCCTTCTGACCACGTTGTGCTATCTGTAAAACCCAGTTTCATCAAATCAATTTTTGTGTCAATAACCAGTGTATGGAAGGGATTGAGAAGCTTATAAATTTTGAAAAAGGCAAATCAATTGTATTATTTCTACATTCGATTGGAAATTTGATTGAAAACCTTGGATCTGTATGATGACATCACAGCTTCGTTTGTAGTCCGATTTGAATGACATGACGCAAAAATAGCTGTCCAATCAAATTTCACGTTACTGGTAATTTGAACTTCCTGTAAGGGACGTAACTCCTGCATCACGATATAGAACTATGTTCGCCCTTAACTCCAGTTACTGCTAATACAGTAGAGATA